TCTGGGATGAAAAAACAGATGTGTGGTGCTCATTTTAGAAGGATTATGTTCCCAAATATCTGACTCAGTTCTGGATGAGATGTTTAAGATAATCGTTTCGGTTGCTTCGGCGAGCCACATTTCCACTATTCGTCATTAGAAGCAGCAGTAGCGGCGGCTTCTAGTACTGGCACCGGTAAAAAAATTATGGCTCCAGATCAGTCTGAGATTCAGCTTGACAGGAACGCAGACTGTAGCTCCTTTTATGTTTGCAAATTTCTAAATTACTCAGCTCTCTCTCGCTCATGTGGCAACATAAAACACAGTGTTGATTTATGTTCGACCAGCCAGACATGACTGTAGCAGCCATGAGCTACTATCAATACTCCAATACTACACAGCCAATAGTAGTTCTGTTACATCCTGAGACGTGATAGCGATCTCTACGAGACTGAGATGTAGCACAATTTCTCGCTGATGGCAGTTATTTCTCCTATTTATCGTCTGGCTCTTGACTCTGTGACACGTCATAAGCTGTCATCTGTCAAACACACAAGAGAACTACTTAAACTGCTGTTAAAACCCATACTTATCATGTTACCATGAAGTATAAAGTGTTTTTTTGAATCTAGATCTGTTTTCTTTTACTTGCCATGTAAATATACCTCTGTAGGTTCTTCTTCAAATGTACCCTGCAAAGTTGTCGGGATGTATAGTTCTTGAGAATACAATCTGTTTCTTTGTGGGATTGAAGCAGTCATTTTATAGCTATCTACACATTTAATGCAAACGGTTTGGGAGTTAGATGGTGTGCGGCGAGTCTGAATGCCTTTATATCTACTTGACGCTCTCCACTGCAGACATCTCATGATACAGATGGGCGACGAGTTTGCAGGCAGCATAAAAAAAACCAACTCGAACAGAATTAATTAACAGTTCTATTTACGTACCACTCTCTGGTAGTCGTCGGGGTCGCTGTTTTTGAAGCCTGAAATGACAAATATGGAACAGAAACGTGAAGTAGTGCAGTATGTGAAATTAAATGTAACATATGATGTGAACATGACACACAGTGATGGTGAGTTTAATGACCTCCCATGAGTCCCGCACATGCCAGTTTAGTAACTATTTCTTTAAGGATCGCAAATCCTCTGAAGTCATGTGGGCTTTGCGTTCCTTTACTTTCGTCAGTGCTTATGGACACCAGCAACGTGGTTCAGTCGGATTATGGCTATAGACTGATGCAGCTCTTATTCAGCCATGATTATTTCACCTTTAGTTAATTTTAACAATTCATATCTTCAGACGTAGGCTCCAGCCCCTCCGCGACCCTAGTGAGGATTTAGCAGTGTATAGATAATGGATGAATATCTTCAGATGATCTGTGCTTTTTATTTCTTCCCCATCTGGACTTCTGTAACGCAGGATTATCTCCAGTTAAAGTAAACATTATCACATAAAGGTGAGTGTTGCACTTTCTGCATTCACTTGATGTAAATTTTGTCATCAGCCCAAGTCTATANTCATCGTAAAATACGTGACATAACCAACCTCCTTTGTTCTATTTCCTATGTGCTCATGCAACTGGAGTTATGTCCAGGAACTACCTTTTCTTTTGATTTGACATTGCAGTCGAAACACAAAAGGAAACACAAAGCCTGAAGGGACTGACTGCAAGAACGTTCCTGTAAACATTTTGTCCCACATTGCACCTGCCCTGAGTTCCTGCAGCAGAAAGCCACCCTTATGTTTCGGTAGGTGTTTCGTGTCACAGTAGAGTCCACTATGATGCCAGAACTCAGAACTTTCCACGCTGCCTCCAGTAGCTTTCCTGGCTTTCTTGCTTCCATCCCTTCCACAAGTAAATGATGCTCAAGCCACCTTCTTCCATTGCTCCTCTAATGCTTACATGCTCATTGTAGGGACAGCAACCTGCAACCTACTGTGAGTTCTGATACCTTTCTAACCCAGCTAGCAGTGAGGTATTCAGCACTTTCATCCTGCAGTCTTGGACGCCCATAACTTCACCGGTTGTCCTTCCTTGAACCACCTTTGGTATCTACTAACCACTACACACAAACATCTAGAAATGTTGTGTTGAAGATGCTGTTACAATTCGGCCCTCAAATCCCATTTTTCCTGCTTCCAACACATCAGCTTGGAGAACTGACTCCTCACTCGCCGCCTAATATATCCCACCTCTTGACAGGTGCCGATGCAACAACACAATCAATGTTATTCTCTTCACCTCTCAGTGGGGTTTAATGCTGTGGTCGATCAGCGTACAGTAGAACGAGTGGAGACCTAAGTGTATGGAGTGCTGCAGTTGTCATGGCAATGGATCATTTGAAAGGCGATTTCAGTCGTTTTCCAGAATGAACCTTGACGATAACGTGATGATTTTAGCTTATATTGTGCAGTGCATATTTTTACGAGGCCGATGTTATGCTCATCCAGTCATCCCCATGAGAGCAGATGGTTAATTTACCTGTATTTTTATATTTGTAATCAATTGCACCACTCCGTAGGAATCCATTTTCTTCTGCTGCTGCTAAATTTTAAGAACTAATTTAAAGGCGTCCTAGAAAAACAATGTAAAAAAAAAAAAGAGCTCCTCATATCCAGTGTGAAAGGACCAATCAGCTTTGTCTAACTGGACGTTACGGTAAAGGAGATTAAGGCCCAGACACGAGGGTCTCTCTTTATCTCGCCTCCCATTTCTCGCTCCCTCATGCGCTCACACATTAAACGTGGCTTGCCGGGGCAGAACGCCGTGATCCAGTTAATGGATTTTAACACAGAGGTGCTGTGCTGGCAGCAACAGGATCGGCACATGTGAACGTCAGCGACAGAGACGAGAAAAAAAAAAAAAGTAGCAATAAAATAAGACTGCTCACATCTTGTCAGAGGAATCACTGAGAATTTTTTTTTTTTCCCCACTCAAGTATTTAACAAGCGGCTGAAAATTTGATGACAGCGCTTCAAATATGCATCAAACAGAGCGGAACACCCTGTAACTTTCAGTCAGGTGTCTCCGATAAACTCGAAAGCCGGCGAGTCGGGGGATGTGCGACTGGGTGTCAGAGCTTTTACTCCACGTGTGATTGCTTGGTCCTGGAACAGCAGAAGACTTCCCAGCAGCTACTTAATTCTAATGAGGGCTTTATGAGTCGTGATCAAGAGCTCATTGGCAATGTGTTCAGTCAATAGCGCCTTCTCTTCTGAGCAGAGCCTCGGCTTATGTGCCGACCCCAGCAAATTGACCCGGAGATTTATACAGCTATTTTCTAAAGGTCCCCATTCGTGGGCCTACAGTCAGGAAGGAGAATTAGTGTTTCAATGGATTTCACTTTCAATTTGAATGCGGAGTGGTTGGAACATGGCCCCGGCTAAGGGGAGGCCATTGGTAATGAACCCCTTTTGTGTTCTGCCACTTAGAGGATCAAATGCTTGAAGCTATGAAGACATTCGGCGCTGCAAGAGACACGATTTCTTTCAGCTGCCATAGGTGGCGAATCCTATGGATTTATCCACCTTTTTGCTGAAAAGCACTCAGAGAGGATGCCAGTTCAAGTAGCACTGGTGGAAGTCAATTGTGATCAGTTGGCTTTTGAGGATTATAACAGCTGTAAGTCCGTGGAGGATGCATTGATCCACATGCAGGGCTGGAGAGGGTACTAAAAAACCTGCACTCTAAAAAGTAAAAGGTGATTTACTGATTTAGCTAAATCTTTTAAGTTGCAAACTTTGTTTTGATGGGTTGCACTGATATAACACTGTTGGTAAGTGCATCAACCAAATATTGTGTGTAGTTTAAATGTACATTTCTACAGTAGTTAGCTTAAAATAAAGTTTAAGTTAAGGTAACTTTATGAAATGGGCTTGGAAACTTATTTTTTCTTCCAGCCTGAATATTTAACAGGGTTAACTTCATTTTTAAGCTTGCAAACTTAAAAACATGTGTTCATAATTATGTTAAGTACCTAACACCTACAAATTTTGTTTTAATGATGCAGAAAATAATTTTTTTTTATGAATGATCAACTTGTGTTTAGGCAGTTACTAGGTGAGTAACTATACCTGTGATTGGAGAGGAATAACTCAGTTTTTTGGTTGGACACAATTTGAACTCAAAAAGATTGATGCACCCTGTTCAAAATGTCGTTCTGTTTTTTTCGTGAGCCCAAACACATATTTTTTAAAAGCAGAAGCATTACGAAAATATTATTCAACTAAAAGTAAACCTATTGGTGATAATAATACTCGAGTAAGAGTGCAAAGTATTTAAAGTTGACTTGGTTGCTTTTTAATTTATTGCATTATCAATATCAGGCATTCATTTAAAGCAGGAGCTCGATAAAGATTTTTTTTTAAACTTTCAACAAAACACAGTTCTCTGATGAATGAGAAATCTTGTATGGATCAAATTAAGGGGATTAGTGACACTATTTCTTAACCTACATACAGATAACGTAGGAATTGTGTTAAAAGCTACTAAAAAATGCTTTTGAACCTTTGAAACTTGCTGAAATAATCAGTACTTTCTGAACTTCTGGTTTAGTTTTAGCAGGAGCTGATTTTATTTTTCCAGGTCTTTCTTGCTTCGTTTGGATGTAACCAAACCTGCGCCTGCTGCAGTATACTTCGTATAAAAGCAACAAAGCAGATTACGCAGTAAACAGCTTAATTAAGGAAGAGGAGAAATTACAAATACGAAGAGTTGCACATCATTACTTCCACCTATGAATACGTGTCCATACACTAGACCAGGAAGTGGTTTGAAAAGAACTGCGAAACAAGGTTTTGAAGGTATCCATAAATGAAAGTAAAAATTTAAAAGGCTGTGGCGCTAACAGAAAATACAAGGGATCAATATTGGATTTATCATCTAGGGACCCTGAATATCGGTGCTAAATTGTAAAGGCAACTCATCCAAAAGCCAAAAAACTCTGGCTAAAGGAGAGCTGACAGCAAACATGACGAAGATTCATCCTCTGGGGACAATGAACAGCTGCACAAAGTTGGCTTAATAAAAATATTTATTTCAATTTCAATCCTTCACATTTATTTTTTTTTATCTTTACTGTATTTGGTCACCTGCGCAGTGTAAATATACAGAAATGTAAGAACTGTATTTAGTGCAGGAGAGGAAAACACAGTAAAAATGAAATGCTGATGAGTCTGTACTTGATTACTACACTGGTGCTTTCTATTAGCTTATTAGTGATTTTATTTCCCAGCGCGACATGCCACTAAAAATAACACAACAACTTCTTAAAGCAATCAACGCTGCATTCACCTTCTTCTCCAGTTTAACTTATTAGTCAAAGGGCACCAGTCAGAAACAGACAGCAATGGTAGAAAAGTGATAATCCTGTTGTGACCTTATCTCCTGGTGACACCCACAACCCGATGCAGGCGGCGGTTGGATGGGTGACATTATAACTCAGCGCTGCCCCTCAGCCAAAACTCTTACAAGCTCTCCAGTTCATCCATTAGCAGTCTGACAGTTTAGTGTCACGTAGCGAGCCCCGTGGAGAAGATGTGAGCTGTCACAGTTCAGAGAATCATGGCCAGCCAGCCGACGATCATAGCGACGCCCCCCATGGGAGCCACTTTGCGGAGGCCGGGGTCCCCCGTCAGAGCCTGGTGGTACAAAGAGCCACAGAACATCCCCATGCCCGCGATCAGGATGGTGCCGGCCTGTCAAGAAGCAGCATTTTTAATGAGTGAGGGTAATAATAAACTGTCACGATGGCGTTCACGTTGTACAAAACATGCTTAGAAAGTTGCTCCGGTCTTCCTTCCATCAAAACATACTGTGGATGTAAAGTGACACTACGCATCCACTCACGTAACGCTGCAGAAAAAGTGAGTTGTGGATGGTGAATAAGCCCGTCCAAACATTCCAAGCAGTCAAGGCCAAATGTTTGCCTCCGCTTTGGTTTCAAAACGTCATTTCAAACTCTGACAATGCGCAATATTTCATTCAGATTGGAGCAACCTTTTCAGTCCGACGTGCCTCCGCGGTGCTGTCAGATAAGCTGAAGTACCCCTTCAATGGCGCCTCTCACCGTTTTCCCAAGGATTTTTTGAAAATTATTTCAAATTGGATGTTATTTAAAACACTGTTTAGAAAACGTCCATGTGAGAAGTGATTCTGAAATTGCCAGTACATTTTCAGCAGATTTGGTTAAACTCAAACTGCTGCCACTTGGGCGATTTAACCATCCACCAGCACTTCCATTCATTTCTGTTTTTGCAGTTTAAAAAAAAAAAAAAGATCTTTGTGATCTCTCTGCTTGCAACTGCAACAGGTCATATTCATCAATTAGTATAATAAATATCAGGCTTACTCCAATTTGCAATCCTATTTGGGCATTGATTTTCCTCCTTAACAAATTCCAAATTAATCTACTCCACAATCTTTGCGCATATCCAATTTTCTCCCATTACTGGCCAGCCTATAATAACATTATCAGACACGGGGGAGTGCGCTAATACGGGGCTGCTGGAACTAAAAAATGAAGAAGTGACGGCTTAATCCTAAACAGAGAACGTTCAAATTGCATGTCTCCTGGAGGAGTTGGAGTTTATGACAAACAGTTTAAAGTGACAGTCTGGAAGATGTGTTTGTTAGCGCTGCGTTTGCTGCCAAAGAAGAGAAATTAAGAGTCCCTGTTTGTGTCATTTTACGACAGCGTCCTACTGTATTCTTTACTAGAACTAGATAAAGTAATGGTAACCCAGGTGACAGTGGTTTGTTTTCTGGTTTGTCTTGGCTGCTTTATGGTTACAATAGAGCCCAAACTCATCCTTGTTAAATTTATTGTTACAAGCAGAGTAGATTAAATAAGAATATTCATTCAGACACATGCATTAGAAGACACAAAGGCCTTTAGCTCATGTGACTGAGGGCCGATTCATGATCTCCCACCTCCATATGGTCAGGCTGATAAGTGGACGCATACACTTTGTTCATACGACAACAGGGCCCCACCAGACTGTGCTCGTCACAGTGAACACAGGAAAACACACGGGGCGGTTTTTACAGACCATAGCAGCAGATTGAGCTTCAGCACTGTGTCAGCGACTAATTCTAAAGCACAGGATTTCTGGAGACTTTAGAACGTCCCTACTGTGTTTGGGCTCCATCGCTGCACCTCCAAAGTCTGGCATTAGTGCTGAATTATAAAGTTGTAGATGACTTAGAATCTCCTTGTACAGTCTCTCCTTATACCAAACATTCATTTTAAGCACTGCTTGTTTTCGTGGCACATGCAAAGTCAGAATGCAGACAGTCTACCGTAAATTCAGCCGCTACTTTTTTCACACGCTTTGAACACTGCAGCTTAAACAATGATGCGGCTAGTTTATGGATTTTTACGAGTTTGCCTCAAGACCAAAGTGACATTGAGAGTGACAACGAAAGAGAGACTGAGGAAGTGTGTGACGAAGGAATTCTGAGGCTGTTCAATTCCGACACTGAAGAACTTTAGTGGTTTTAGTGCGCAGGAGGAAGATGAAGATAGCGATCAATGACTTTTCCTGGTAGGCTACTGTGGTTTTTATTTTCTTAACCAGCCGTGTTACAGGCACTGTTTGGAAAAAAGCATTTACGGTACATATTTGTGTATTTAACCAGTCCGTACTTAACTAAAAGTTTCACAAATCTTTCTGTGGAAACATCTCCTGTTACAACGTGGACACCTGCAGCTTATAGACAAGAGCGGCCGATATATGTACAAAATTTGTTTTCTTTTTAAAGTTAGTGGGTGCGGCTTATATTCAGGTGCGCTCAATAGTCTGGAAATCACGGTATGTGGTCACCAATTTTGAGCTACACGCACAAACTCTTGCACATTTTGATGGGTACCTTTGTGGACACGGACAAAGCACGAATTGGCCTTAAAAGTTAGGTTGGCAGTAGACTCAAAATTAGAAACTAGCGTATGTGAAGTTTGTTTAGGACCTGATAAGTAGAACTGAAATTAAACATTTTTATTCATCCCTTTGGAAACTGAGTTTTTAAATTTTGGGAACCAATTGGCACCATAACCCTACATCTACTGTGCACTACTTGTGGTTTCGTGCGGGAACGTCATCACAGTTTTTCACACTAAACATGTTTGATATAATCTCATTAATGGTGCCTCATTTGACAAACAGTAGCGATTAAACAGACACTTATTTGAACTAAAACCGCCACTTTCATTGTTAGGCTTCAAATAAACTCCACAGACTGGCTACAGATGCTAATGAGCTCATTCTTCTGCAATATTTCCCATAACGTCTTTCCATAGTCGCACAAAATCGTTTTAAAGTTGCTATTTATAAGCCACGGTTCGTTCAAAACAACATCTTCTGTAATTGCGGCCCCGAAGGAATACTGATCCCCCGAGTGAAGACGGACAGAAAAGACCGGAGTGACACTGACACACTGGTTCCGTTTTAAGGCATACTTGAGTGCATGCAGCCCTGAGAGATGGTATTAGGCGTCCATACTCACCACAGCAGGTTTGCCAGAGTGGGCAGCTCCCAGCAGGGCCAGGCTGTGGTAAAAATGGTACTTGTTGGCAGTTTCAAATAGCTGGAAAGGCACATACACAAAGGCAGAGCTTTTTAGAAGAATCCAGCCCTCTCCAATCAGTCTTCAGTTCAGTCAATCAAACATTTTCTGGAATGGACTGAAAAGGGGCTGCTATTATAGAGTGTAAATGGATTATAAGAGGATATGTAATGAGCCATTAATGTAGAGGGGCTACTATCAGACACCTATTACGCCATTTTCATCAATTAGGGCAGCTCTAATCACACAAAAGATGGTCTCAGATCTTACGCTGAAACCTTTTCCTACGTTTTTGACGCCAAGAAGTTTCCAGATCAACAATTCAACAAGCGAGAAAAATGATCTCACAAGCAACTTTTTATTTTTTATTTTTTTTGTACCTCGCTGTAAGTAAATAAGCACAGCGGCTGTAAATCAAGATCATGATCAGCAGCGAGTTCACTCAGGCAGAAGCTGTTTTTGGAGACGCATCAAAAGTTGTAAACAGACTCCTGCACACCGTCTAACTCGCATTTATGTGCAAGACTTGGGTGCCAAACCTTCAGCAGCTTCCAGGATCATACAAGAAATTAGAAAAACCCTACATATAGGGGGAGACTTAAATGTACCTCCATGACATCCGCAATGAATAGATAAATTACTAGAAAATCACTGCTTCAAAACCAACTTGCAGGTTTATTTTTTTTACATTTGTACTTATTGTTTCTTGCAGTGATTGTTCAAAAACTTGATGCTTGATTTCATATGTTTTATGAGACATGAAAGCAGGAATTCCGATCAGAAAGTCGACCTTTTGAGCGCTCTTAAAGCTGCTTTTCAATCATAATAGGTCACATTATGTCATGCAAGTAGTCGTTTCTGACAGAAATGGAAGGTAACGAGTTGGTTGCTGATTCATTGTGCTGGTGCAGCCTGTCAGGAAATCCAGTCGACACTTTTCCTAACTAGGGTTGCGTTGTGCAGCTTGTGCAGGTTAAGAGCAGGAACTTCACGGCTACATCTGGGATGAAAAAACAGATGTGTGGTGCTCATTTTAGAAGGATTATGTTCCCAAATATCTGACTCAGTTCTGGATGAGATGTTTAAGACAGTCGTTTCGGTTCCTTCGGCGAGCCACATTTCCACTATTCGCCATTAGAAGCAGTGGCTTCTAGTACTGGCACCAGTAAAAAAATTATGGCTCCAGATCAGTCTGAGATTCAGCTTGACAGGAACGCAGACTGTAGCTCCTTTTATGTTTGCAAATTTCTAAATTACTCAGCTCTCTCTCGCTCATGTGGCAACATAAAACACAGTGTTGATTTATGTTCGACCAGCCAGACATGACTGTAGCAGCCATGAGCTACTATCAATACTCCAATACTACACAGCCAATAGTAGTTCTGTTACATCCTGAGACGTGATAGCGATCTCTACGAGACTGAGATGTAGCACAATTTCTCGCTGATGGCAGTTATTTCTCCTATTTATCGTCTGGCTCTTGACTCTGTGACACGTCATAAGCTGTCATCTGTCAAACACACAAGAGAACTACTTAAACTACTGTTAAAACCCATACTTATCATGTTACCATGAAGTATAAAGTGTTTTTTTGAATCTAGATCTGTTTTCTTTTACTTGCCATGTAAATATACCTCTGTAGGTTCTTCTTCAAATGTACCCTGCAAAGTTGTCGGGATGTATAGTTCTTGAGAATACAATCTGTTTCTTTGTGGGATTGAAGCAGTCATTTTATAGCTATCTACACATTTAATGCAAACGGTTTGGGAGTTAGATGGTGTGCGGCGAGTCTGAATGCCTTTATATCTACTTGACGCTCTCCACTGCAGACATCTCATGATACAGATGGGCGACGAGTTTGCAGACAGCATAAAAAAAAACAACTCGAACAGAATTCATTAACAGTTCTATTTACGTACCACTCTCTGGTAGTCGTCGGGGTCGCTGTTTTTGAAGCCTGAAATGACAAATATGGAACAGAAACGTGAAGTAGTGCAGTATGTGAAATTAAATGTAACATATGATGTGAACATGACACACGGTGATGGTGAGTTTAATGACCTCCCATGAGTCCCGCACATGCCATTTTAGTAACTATTTCTTTAAGGATGGCAAATCCTCTGAAGTCATGTGGGCTTTGCGTTCTTTTACTTTCGTCAGTGCTCATGGACACCAGCAAAGTGGTTCAGTCAGATTATGGCTATAGACTGATGCAGCCCTTATTCAGCCCTGATTATTTCACCATTAGTTAATTTCAACAATTCATATCTTCAGACGTAGACTCCAGCCCCTCCACGACCCTAGTGAGGATTTAGCGGTGTATAGATAATGGATGGATATCTTCAGATGATCTACACGAGGTGGTCTGTGCTTATTATTTCTTCCCCATCTGGACTTCTGTAACGCAGGATTATCTCCAGTTAAAGTAAACATTATCACATAAAGGTGAGTGTTGCACCTTCTGAATCCACTTGATGTAAATTTTGTCATCAGCCCAAGTCTATAAGTCCCTAAATCTGTGTCCATGTGGCCACCAATCTACAGTGGGGGTCAAGCAGCAAAAACACAAACCTACTGCACATATATGAAACTAGTTCTCAAGCAAGACGGAAAACGGAGTCTACATGTACATTCAAAATGATACTTTCAAGAACTTACCAAGCCCTGCACCTGCTAATATTGAGGATCTACAAACTCTGCATGAGGCTAAATGTTGGAGAATATTTTCTGTACGTAACATATATGTTAGATTGCAGCATTTGTAATTTTCTAACTGTCTTATTTTGGCCCGACTAGGCATCATCTTACATCAGCAGATAGTGGTCTTGTGGTTGTTTCTCGAGCCCAGTGGTGATTAAGGCCGGTGTTGTACTGGGCACTGGCATCTGAAATTTTACAAACAGCCCTGCATCGATTCATCCATCATTGTGATGGTGCTTTAAAGCCCTTCGAAATAAGACAATATTACTAATCAAACCCGCATGTAGTCTATGTTTTGATTCCTCTGTGTTCCAACTTAACACTCTCACATTTTGTGTGAGCTCGTCATTGTTGGTTTTTGACAGCAGCTTGCTGGCAATTTCACACAAGCAAGACTTGAAGGCCGTGGACAATAAGAAAGTTTTTCAAAAAGAAACAAGGATGAAAACTACGAGGCACAGACAAGGCCAGAGGAGAGGGAGGAAGAGCTACATCCTTGTTGGATGAGCTGCCATTAGCCATGACGTGAACAGGGTTTGTGTCGTTTTAATCAGAAAGACAGCTGGAAAATGTGTTATATATTTGGAGTGTTGTCTTATTACTGTTTATGGTTAAAGTCATTCCACTCATCACTACATGCATCTCTTCTTCAGGACTATTAAAATGATCTGTCACACTAAATACTAGTAAATAAACTAGTTAGAAGTTAAAATGAGTCTGAAAAGGTTCTAAGATATACCAATCTCAATCTATCTCAGTGATTCTCAAGTGTTTTTGTCACAAGGCCCATCATATATGAAAGAATTAATATCCAAAGCACACATTTGCACATGATTATAGCAATAAATCATCATAGATAAGACTAATTAAAAAGCACACAGATGTAAAAGTACTGGTCTGGCTTGACTGTACTCACTGTCATATTAATGTAGAAGCACAGAAACAAAAAAAATTAAAAACTGTGCGCTTATCAGGGTGAAATAAAGTTTCAAGATCCTAACTCTTGCTGTCTGCACGTTTCCCAGTCCCCCCCTTGAACCACCATGACACCCCAAGGAGGCGGGTCACCTTCATTACGAAATTGACTATTTCACTAAAATAACGTGCTGCCTGGTTGCTCCTTTGGATGCCGAATTAAGGATTAGCCTGCAAAAGATTAGCAACAGCTGATCTCTTCGTCATTTCCGTTTTTGTAACCGCGTCGCAAGGAAACAAACTTTCACTTGCCGTATTTTCGTATGGAGTCTGGAGAAGGTAAGCGCTAGCATGACAGTTCTTCCTGACTCCGTTTACTATTTCGCCGAATTAGAAAGCTGCAGAGAATAAGCTAACGTTAACTCCCTACCGTGAGCTCCGTACGCCCCAGCTGCCACCGCAGAGGCCCCGGACAGAGCCGCTAACCTTCGGACCACAACAGACGCGCTCATGTTTTTGTAGCTGCGTTTATCCAACAAGCGGAAGACGAATGACCGTGGTGTTGCCTTCACTGTCCTGTCATAGCGTCGTTCCTCTGAACTCTCTTGTTATGAGATATGGATTTCTGGCGCAGGAGGCTGCAGGAGACGGTAACAAAATGAAGCAGCATTTATACTCTTGTGTAGCTAAACTATGACATAAGCCCTGAGGTGGGTTTGAATGCCAGATTAGCTAAAATATTATCTCGAAACAACATGAAGGCTAAAACAGAAAAAAAATGCTAAAATACGTACAAATAATCTAAAACAATAACTTAGACTAATATGACACTTCACGTCGTATTAATTTGAGCTCCGACAAAAGTCTACCTTTTTGCCTCCATTTATGAGAGCTCCTTTCGTTTTCCTAATTACGACACTCTTGTGAGCTCTTGAAAGCCGCAGCGCTGGCGGATGCATCCGCGTTCATTCCAGGGCTCCGAGCTTCCGGGCACATCCGTTTGGGAGACTTGAACCAAAATGGCGACTGTCGTGCTACAGTTTCAGCCCCACGGGGCAAATTTCAGAACTCCACCAAGCAGATCTGACACTGACATGACACTTGAGCAGTCATTGTTATGCCTTTAGGTTTCGCATTTGAGGCTATGTATGTGAATGTAGGGATTTCATGCTCCTGTTGCTGGTCACTTCTGACTTTCACAGCTTTTATGTTGGATTGCAGAACACATTGAAGGGTAAAGCACTTATTTTTTTTGTTAAATCTGGTGCTGTTGTAGCAAGACATGGTGCACATTGACCTTCATTCTGCAAATGGCAAAAAAAAATCAACATTCTTATGCCTGACATCTTGCTTTGTTGAAAACTTCCCGTTTAAAATGCATTATTCAAGGCAGGGCTGAGTTATAGTATTGTGATGCATTCGTATGAATAATTAATTTTCTCTAGAGAGAGGTTGCTTAGCTTTAGAGAGGGCTTTATGCTGCCTCTTTTTCAGAATCACCAAACTGCCACATTGCACTGAACGATATCAACCCAGCGGTGCGGCGGGCGCATTCCTGTGCACCGCTTTGCAATTTATCCGTCGCTGCAAATTAGGAAACACCGGCGAATTTTCTGCGCTTTAGAGAATTACCCGTGATGTGTTTTTCCTGCCTGGTGAAGGTGTTGTGGACTAATTCTGATGTAACCCTTTGATGGGGGGAAACACACTAATCCCCTGTAGAGAGCCTGCCAAAAGGGGGAGCTGTATTGCTTTCTCATCTGCCAAAGTTTGTAGATAGCTGAAGTGTGTGTGCGTGTGTGTGTGTGTGTGTGTGTGCACGGAGGGGGCAGGGGGACTTCTTCCAATTATCATTTTGAAATTACACGGGGTCACACTGCATTACTGGAGTCGCTAAACCACAGTTTCCGTCGAGCCTCGTCCTTAGCTGACTTTGACACAGCGTTAACACAATGCATACAATTAACACATTTTAATGACCATGTAGCTAATTAAAAATAAGCCTTATGAGTCAAAAGCTGTCACCATCAACTGTGAACTGAACCTGTAGCCGCTGTGGCGCTGTGTTAGCACACAGGCCCCTGCGATCCATCATATATGCCGGTTTCGACTTCCTTGCGGCGTGATTTGCAGCATGTATGTTTGCAGGGAGGGGATGTTTGCTTTACTTCGCACGCAATCCAATCACACACACATGTACACGCGGGTCATTTTCATCCCGGCCCGTGGTAGAAGGGACGGCAAGGACAACAATAAAGTACGGCTTTACATCTTGTTTTCGCAGACAAGCAGCAAATTATCTCCAAGTCCCAGCAGCTCTGTGCTGTGAGGTTCCTCCGAGAGCCAACATCCATCTCACTTCAGCCGGCCCGCCTGCCTGTCCTCTCCTCTGCTCTCCGGTGACTTGCTTTAGTCGTCGCCAATCCTCGCCGTGTTCGAGCAGAAGTGTGTGCATGTATGTGTCTGATCTCCTTAGATTGTTCGCCCCTGGCCTGTCTTGTTGTGATGGAGCTCCTGTCCGAGGAAACATCCAGCTCCCGCAACAACAAGAACAGTGAAGCAGAACATTATTTGCTTTACTCCACAAAGCAGCGTTTACACTTTATATCATCTTAGTCCAACCTTTTTTCTTTTTTTTCTTGGAGTAGCATGACAATAGCAATGTGTGACAATGAAAAAGAAGTATTCTGTCATCCAGAAAGAAAACTAGAACTGTTGTCATCCATTTCCACATTTAAAAAAAAACACCTGGACTCTCACTTTCCTTTCACTGTAATATACTGCCGTGGGTTGTTTTTTGAAAATCCAATTTTGTATTCTTGTTAGCGAGATATATCTGCCGGTAATGCATCTTTGCTCTCTGAAGAATTTAATCCCAATAAAGTGGAAGCGGTCTGTCTCGTCAACACGAAAATAAAGATTTCTGCTTTCGTTCTACTTCTGCAGGTGGAAGTACCCCAAAGACGTCATTATTTCAAGAAGTAACTCTGAGTGATGCTCTCTCTCGTTTGAAATGTCAGGAGTGTCACCCGTTTCCTCCACTGTCACATGAGTTCCTCTTGTCTCAAAGTGAAAATTCAACAGGAAAAAAAAAAAAAATCAAAAACAGGACGGCTACCCCTGCAAGCGAAGATCCTTTTTATTTTTTATTTTTTGGTGCCGAAAGCTTCGCCTGCAGAGTGGCGTACTTCCTCCCCCCCACTCCCTGATACGGAGATTTCCAAAAGAACCCAACGTTTCTGAAATTCTCCATTAACCTTGATGCGTTTTGATGGTTACAGCCCTTCACTGTCTTCGCTTTGAGAAGCCGCAACCACGGCCAATTATCTATCTGTTAAGGGCGCTTTCATGTCTCCGAGATGTTTAGTCGCGAATGTGCGTATTGTGCCCCGGTGTCACAGCTTTTCATGCTCCGGCTCTGTCACTCGTCCATGTCATTTCATCCCTTTCAGCAAAGAGGAAAGAATGAAGAGAGAGGAGAGAGAGAGAGCGAGGAAGGGAGGCTAAGAGAGATAGAAGAGACAGGCCTGTCGTGTGACATTTTGTCTGGTTGTCCGGGCTATTGTGTGCTGGGGGAGACAGCACCAGTCATTGCCATTACACTGGCTGGCAGAGTGACACACACATATACCCCTGGACCAAAACAGCCTCAGGTACACACAAACACACACAATCCATCCTCGTGTCAACAAAAAATATTGTTCTGTGGATGTTTGCCGCGAAAAATAGTTTCCGACTCCCCGCCTGGCTGATGGTATTCCAGGTTCTGATCCTAAACAATGCAGCTATTAAGCCGTTCAGTGATATTAACTCAGCCTCTACTTAACGTCAGGTTCGTCTGCAGCGGTTTTGTGAAAGAAACAAACACTGGTGCGTGCACAAGCCTCAAATATCCATAAGCACACACTCACTCACTCACACACAGAAGTTGCAGTTGCAGCAGGCTCCCCACTCCGAGCGAGCATAATTAGCGCACTCGTTAACCTCATCTGCATCTCTCTTCAAAGGAGATCGATGCAAATGGATAGGATTTAGCCACCGGCAGCAATTAGGCCAAAAAAATATCCTAGCTGGAGAAACTTGGTTACAGCTGAGGCAAAGTTGGTTTCATCGCAGGGAGTAACTGTATTTCCTCCCCTCCCTTCCTCCTGCACTAAGAACATAATAGAATCCAAACGGAAGGCTTTCATTTACTCTCATGTCAAATCAAGTTTCTGTTTAATCGCGTTCCGTACCAGCCCTCCTGGTTATCGCAAAACCCTGAGCTCTAAGGGAGAATGAAGTTTCATTAGGAAAATGCGACGCTTACACCGATTTATCCTGCTAACAAGTATTGGCTTTCCAGCCATATCCTGAAATATCTTATTCCTCAGTGCCATCAAGCTCAATTATTATCCAGCAACTATTACAACCTCCTGAATAAGCCACGCGGTTGCACTGGGCGACAGTTTTTTTTTAATTTAATATGAATGTAACCCTGTTTAACTGATCCTGTATACACTGTCCTGCTGCTGCTGTAGATATTAACTGGAAAAAATTGCTATATTTTCTCCTTTTTGAGTCACATTTTATAAAAAAAAAAGTCACCTCATCATTAAAAAAAAGAAAGTATTAAAGATCAGTTTTTAAACATTTGTATATTCAGAACAGCACTTGAGGCTGAGAGATAAATTATTGTTAGATAAACCAATGTATTATTATTATTAGATTTAGTCTTTTAATTAGATTTCTTTTGGAAAATTGCAACAAGATTAAAAGTCTACACCAACGTCACAAGGCTGTACCCTCGTTTGTAAAAGGTTTGTATTGTGTTCTGTGGTTGTTATAAACTTGGAGGTGTCGTATAAAAGCTGCTAAGATATGGAGATGGTTACTTCTGGCGTTCTTTAACATCTCGACAACTAGATGGCCTCCCTGTTTTACAAGCCAGTAAGAACTTGACCCACCTGCTACCTAACGCCTAACTAACTAATAGCTTAACTAATCAAACTTTGCGTGTGCGTCCAGATGAGCCATCCAGGTTTATATTTACTTTCCGTGGCTGCTTCTGCTAACACAAGCACGTGAGATGTTGTGTTGTTGGCTGCAAGAGAGAACACAAGAGTCTCCATGCACTCCCAGCATCTGAGGACACAATA